TTTTGGTTAGCAGCCAAATGCTTTAGCCACTGTACCACCATAGCTCCTCTATCTGAGCTCAGAGCCCAGCAATTCCATTTACTAACTGTGCTGGCTGTGTGACCTGGGACAAGTTACTGACAACTGACAAGTATAAGTTTTCTCATCTGTAAAACTGGGTGTTAGAACTTAACCTCACAGAGTTATTGCAAGGATTAAGTGAGGTCATCCTCCCTGCTTCTCTGTTGATGTGTGTGTGTGGTCTCTGTCTCTACAAACGTATTTTGCATTTTCCTGTCCACTTTATGCTTCTTTCTAGGCCAAGCATCCTATGCAGGCTCCAGGTGGTTTTGCGCTCTGGTCTGCTACTTGTTTCTTCTGGTCTTTTTAGAAAAATAATCAGTGTAAAGTGGCATTTGTTGCTGAATAGCCAGCCTTCTTCCAGGTCTTCCAGGTCCTGACTGCTGGCTAGGTTGAGAGCAGCATGTTTGCATTTTTCCAAGCAGGATAGGGAGCAGCAGAGGCTGGGGGCCTGCAGCCTGCCAAGTAAGCCAGTTTCCTTTGGGGAGAAGAGACCAAATCAGTCCTGGGAGGGGAAAGCCTGTCTTCTCAGAGCCCCAGATAACAGCAGCCTCAGGCAGCCTCAGAGGGTGCCTCTGTGTCCTAGTTCCTTTTGTAATTTGCACAGCAGTCCAGGAGTTGGGGCTCTTGACCCTGGAGTCAAGGGCTAGAGGCTCTGGCTTTTTCTATCTGTGAACTAATGGAAAATCAGACGCATCTGAGCTCTCAGGAATCACTTCCACCACTTCACCCCTCTCCATCCCCTACCCACTTCACTTCCACCTTATCTGGGACCTGTCTTCTGGGGAGTGGGGGACTCAGGGCACACCTTCTCTGGGCCTTCCTTAATATCATTTTGCCAGAGCCTCCTAACTAATCCCCTGCCCCCAGTTTTTCCCTCTAACGGCAGATTTTGGCAACAGTACCACTTTTATAGGGCAGCGTAGCACAGTGGCCAGGAACTCTAGTATCAGACAGATTTGGCTTGACTCAGTTCATCAGCTGAGGTTCTCATCACCTCTTCAGAAAGGCTCTCCCTAACTACCCTATGTAAAGTAGGTCTCCCTACCCACCCAGTTATTCTCTATCATGTAATCCTGTTATTTACTTCACGTTGTTGTTTTTGTGTGGCATTGCATCAATTGCGACTCACGGTGACCCTATATGACAGAATAGAATTGCCCCACAGAGTTTCCTAGGCTATAATCTTTATGGAAGCAGATCACCAAGTCGTTTCTCCTCCAGAGCTTTTGGTGACCTTTCTGTTAGCAGCCAAGCACTTAACTATTGTGCCATCATAGCAGTTATAACCTGTAATTATCTTGTTTACTTTCTTACCATCTGTCCACTAAATTGTAAGGTTCAAGAAGGCAAGAACGCTGTCTTATTGCTATTTCCTCAACACCTAACATATGGCTTGATAGTAAATATGTTTTGAATTAGTTGTTGTTAGGTGCCATCGAGTCATCTCTGACTCATAGTGACCCTATGCACAGCAGAATGAAACCACCTGGTCCCACAGTCACTCTATGATCCCTGCTATATTTGAGCCCATCACTGCAGCCACTGTTTCAATCCATCTTGTTGAGGGCCTTCCACTCTTTTGTTGACCCTCCATCTTACCAAGCATGAATCCTTCTCCAGGAAATGGTCCCTTCTGACAACATGACCAAAGGAGGTGGGATGAAGTCTGGTCATTCTCAATTCCTAGGAGCATTCCGGCTGCACTTCCTCCAGAAAGTAAATGAATGACTAATGATTAATGATTAATGACTGCATGGCCTTAAGAAAATTGCTTAACTTTTCTGAGCCTAAGTTTTCTTATCAGTGAAATGGGGAAATAATAGGAATATCATGTTAAATGACATAGTGCGTTTACACCACTAAACTCAGAGCCTGGCCCATGGAAGAGTCTCTAAAATGTTCTGCAGTGTTCTATATAAGAAAAAGAAAGTTCTAACTAACTAGCTGGCTCTCCACAATTTGACCACAACTTTTACCTTCTACTGTTATTCTCCAAGGAGCTCTGGTAGCATAGTGCCTAAGGCATCTGATTGTTAACAAGAAGCTGGTGGTTCAAATCCACCAGTCACTCCTCAGAAGGAAGGTTGGGCAATCTATTTCCATAGTGATATCACCTTCAAAACCCAGGGAGTGGTCACTATGAGTCAGGTTCAACTTGAGGCAGTAAGTTTCGTTTTGGTTTGCTTTTCTCCAACAGTTTCTCCTTTGGCTCAAATGACAGCTGCTCTGCATGGGCCACGTGCATTCTTATTCCTAAGCCTTTGCCCAAGACTTGAAATGCTTGCTCTACTTAGCTCAACCAAATTTTACCCATATTTTCAGATTTGGCTCGAACCCATGTCCTCTGTGTCAATTTCATAAAGATCATTCCATCTTCTGAACTTTTGTCATCTTTGTGATCTGTATCACTCATTCTATGCTCTGTTATATTGTCACCTGTCATTTGATCTCCTGTTTCCCTGCTTAGACTGTAAGCCCCTCAGAAACATGTATATTTCTCTGCATCTTCAGTGCTGATTGGGCCTGTGCATGGTAGTAGGTGTTCAGTTCAATTTTCACATTAAATTGAAAGCATATATATTTTCTAAGGGAGCTCTGGTAGCATAGTGCCTAAGGCACTTAACTGCTAAACAGAAGGCTGGCAGTTCAAATCCACCAGCCACTCCTCAGAAGGAAGGTTGGGCAATTTACTTACATAGTGATACCACCTTGGAAACCCAAGGAGGGGTCACTATGAGTCGAGTCTAACTCAAGGGCACATTAACAACAACAACATATTTTCTAACAACTCCCTTCTATGTACTTAGCATTCTTCTAGATTCTGTGGAGTATACAAAAGGGCATAAGAAAATTTATCATTGCCTTCAAAGAACTTACAATGTTGTAGAAAGCTAAAGTCAACATACAAATAAAGTACTTAAATAATCACAGCATGGTAAGTGCTGTAAGAAAGGTATGAAGTGCTATGAGGATTCAGGGGAGGGAAGGAAGAATAAGGAAAAGCTTTTGATATTGACTTTGAAGGATGGTTAAGTTTTTGATGGACAAAATGAGAGTGAGGGTGGGACGTGGATTCCAGATTCAAGGGAGAGGGTTAGTGAAGAGATTGACAGATACTGTGGCAACAAACACTAAGACTCGAAACTGGGCAAGAAACTTAGCCAGGAAACTGGAAATATCATCTTGCTTTAGGAACACTGAAACACGACTCATTCAAATTCATCAGGTCTGTTGCAGGGGCTGATGTGCAAGGGATGAAACTCTAACATTGTTAGGGACTGAATTGTGTTCCCGCAAATCAACGTTAGGTCATTCAGCAGTAAGGTGAGTCTAATCCTGAGTAGTGCCCTTATAAAAGAGGAGAAGAGACACAGAGAGGCACACTTTGCCACATGAACACTCATCTACAAGGCAAGGAATACTAAGAAATGCCAGGGGCTACCAGAAGGAGAGACAAGAAAGGCTCTTCCCCTAGAATCTTCTGAGAGAACATTCTGAATTCAGATTACAGGCATACCTAGTTTTATTGCTACTGCATTTTTTTTTTTTTTTTAAAAAAACAACAAATTAAAGTTTTGCAGAAACAATGTGTTGAACAAGTCTATTGGAGCCATTTTTTCCAACAGCACGTCCTTACTTCGTGTCTCTGTGTCACATTTTGGTAATTCTCAATATTTCAAACTTTTTTTTTTTATAATGCTATTACACACTTAGGTGCTTTAGTGGCATAATGCCTAAGGCATTTGACTGCTAACCAGAAGGCTGGTGGTTCAAACCCACCAGTCACTCCTCGGAAGGAAGATTGGGCAATCTACTTCTATAGAAATACAGCCTCAGAAACTCGAGGAGGGGTCGCTATGAGTCGAATTGACTGGATGGAAGTGAGTTTGGTTTTGGATTACACACTTAATAGACTACAGTATAGTGTAAACATAACTTTTATATGCACCAGGAAACAAAAACTCATGTGACTGGCTTTAATGTGATGTTTGCTTTATTGTGGTGGTCTGGAATCAAATCTGCAGTATCACCGAGGTATGCCTGTACTAGCATCCAGAACTCTGAGACAATACATTTCTGTTCTTACAAGCTACCCAATTTGTGATAGTGTGTTACAGCAGCTCCCGGAAATGAATACAGATATGTACCAGATTGTGTTCCCCAAGTGTCATTTTTTTCTGAGGCTGAGAATTCTTCACAATGATTCTTTTTGCCCCTAATAATGATACTCACCTACAGTGTGATCTGATAGTGCATACACAGGATTTTAGTGATCCTTCCTCTCGTTTTTGTAACCCAAATCAAACTGAATGCATTGCTTAGGATGCTCTAACCTTGTCTTAGATCAGTAGTTCCTCTGTTGTTAAATAATTTGCCTTAGGTCATTTATTGGAAAAGTTGGAAGCATTGTGTGTGTGTGTGTGTGTGTGGAATTACAATCATCCTTATCTGAATTCTGTCCTTTTTGCTGCCACTCTGAGACCCAAGAAGACGACCTAATTCACAGTGAGTTTGTGTATAGGGGTTGATCACTGCCTGCTTTCTCTCCAAAGCTTTTTAATCTGCTCGGGGATTTTAGAAGGCCCTCTCCTCTCATCTTCAATGACTCCTTTCTTCAATCTCTAGGAACTGAATCTCCCAGAATTTAAAAATCGTCTCCCAAGGAATAGAATCAGAATAGACAAAAGCGACATTTTCCCAGTTTTCAAGTGTCAGGTGCAGCCGCAAACAGAAGCACGAGATTTTCAATTTCTAGCAAGCAGTTGGAAGGACCTTCAAGTCTAGAGGCCTCTGAAGGGAGGGAGGCGGTTTCCACGGCAACCGGGCCCCAGAGCGGTTGGTTCCCGGGTTCCCTCCTCCTCCGGGTAGCTCAGGGTACCGCCGGGCAGCGTCCTCCCGTGCTCCGCTCGTTGATTGGCCGCACAGGCTGAGCGCTGATTGGCTGCGACGGATCCTCGCGTACCGGTGGCTATGGAGGCGGCGGCGGTTGATGGTTGACCGTTGGCTCCAGGGCTGGGGTCGCCGCTCCGGCGATCCTCTCAGACCCTACCAGAGTGCGCGAGCTGCTGCCGTTCTGCCTGGAGCCCACGGGCGAAGCTTAATTCGGCTCCGCCATGCCGGCCGGGAGTAACGAGTCGGACGGCGTCCTCAGCTATCAGGTAGGGCCCCGCCTCCCGCCCCTCCCCGGGGCTCAGCCTCCTCTTCCTCTGCCCACCCGCCTTCGTTCTGCCCCGAAGCCCAGGCTCCTCAGGCCACTCCCTAGGGGCGAGGGGAGGCCAGCCCGGGACACCAGGGGGCGCTCCGGATGGCTGGGGATCAGGCCGGGGCTCCTGGAGGGTGACCTTGGGCCGAACCTGGGAGCCAGCCGATCACTGCCACATCTCTTAGGCCGCCGCTGCCGCCGAGGAGCCCTGCCGGCCGGCTGGCAGTGACCTCTGTCTCATCAGTTCCTCCCTGGTGGGAGAGGCTGGCTCTGGCCTCGCGCTGCCCAGTGGGAGAAAGGGTAGCCAGTAACCTGCTGTGGTGGAGCAGGTTCCCTCTTTGTGTTTTCATTTCTGGGGGCTTCTGGTTTTTCAGTGTCTCAGAGGAAGAGCTGGAAAGATTGGAAACTGGGACCCAACCCTGTTCATGTAGTCCAGCTTAGCGACTCCCTCCACTCCATTGCACAGACAGACATCTGACAAGTTGTGGGTAGGAAAGCAGAAATGGAAAGCTGGGGTCATGAACAAGTGTGTTTTTTTAGGAGGAGCATGAGAACACCAGCTTTAAGTAACTGATAACTGACGAGGTGGTTAATGTGAGACAAAACATTATTAGGTATTAGAATCTTTAGGTTCAAATCCTCTGTCTGCCATCCGTGGGCTTTGTGACCTTGAGTAAGTCACTGGCTTCTTTGAACCTCAGTTTCCCCATCTATTAAAACAGAAATGATAATATCTGCCTTGATTACCTACCTCATAGGTTTGTTTTGAGCATCAAACGAGGTGCTATTTGTGAAAGGGCTTTGTAAAACAGTGTTTATTGTGTGATACCCAGTGAGTGAATTCTCACTGCCCCTTTCCTGTGTGGTCATGTGGCATAGTTACTGCCCTAGAAAAAAGGGTTTAAAGGTTGATCACATCTGAAGGGGAGGGCTGTGGAGAGGATAGTTTGTTTTGGGAAGGATGACATGCCTTGGAAATACGTGCCATGTTGATGTCAGGGATGGTTCCTGGAGTGGGGCAGAGCAAACACTGAGTTTGTAGCAAGATGAGTATCAGGCACTGACCCTGTCCTCTTTTTTTCTTAGTAACAGTTTATGGCTGGAAAATCTATAGTTCCCTCTTTGCTTATTTAGTTAAAAAAGTAGCTATATTTAAGAATTTGGAAAATTGTGCCAGAGCTAGTCCTCCTATATTTATTGAGGGCCTAATAATCTCTGGCAGGAGCTCTGGTAGCATAGTGGCTAAGACACTTGACTGCTAACCAGAAGGCTGGCGGTTCAAACCCACCAGCCACTCCTCGGAAGGAAGGTTGGGCAATCCTACTTCCGTAGTGATACTGCCTCGGAAACCCAAGGAGGGGTCGCTATGAGTCAGGGCTGACTCGACGGCACATAACAACAACAACAACAACAATAATCTCTGGCATACAATGGTGAACAAAAACAGGCAATGTTCTTTCCCTCCTGTAGCTTACCATAGCTTTTCCTGTAGCTTGCCCTCTAGTAGCTTAGTGGGGGAAATGACCATGTTTAATCAAATAATCACACAAGTAAATAAACCCACTAGCCATTCCTCAGAAGGAAGACTGGTCAGTCTACATCCATAGAGATACTGCTTTGGAAACCTGAGGAGGGGGTTGCTGTGAGTCGGATTCAACTTGATGGCAGTGAGTTTGGTTTTTTGAATTTATAAGCTCTGGTAAGTGCTTTGAAAGAAAGGCAGTGTGTGTACAAGTGTGTATAACAGTAGTTCCAGCCTTTGTTTAAAATCAGAGATTTTACCAAAGAAGAAAATTTGGGCAAAGATCTAAAGTGTCAATGAGAGAAGAGGGAGATCAAAGGGTCTTGGAGGCAAAGGGAACAGTATATATACAAAGGTCCTGTGACAGAAAGCACGTCTGATTAGAAGACCTGAAAGAAGGCCAGCATGTCTGGAGCCCCAGGGAGGAATGAGGGGAGTGGTGTGCCATGCACTCTGGAGCCATATCATGGAGAGTCATGGTGGCTCAGGCTGAGGAAGGTAGTGTTTATCTGAGGGGACAACAGGAAGATATTGAAGGGGTTTATGCAGGAAGAGAAGAAAGGGGGCAGGGGAAGGAGAGAATGAAAGATCATAATCAGAGTTTCCTATTGAAATATTTCTCTGGCTGCAGTGGGGGAGAACAGGCTGGAGGGAGACGGGTAAATGTGGGGGACTGTCCTTTACATGCAGAATGTGTGCAGATGATATTATCTAGGGTATAAGAGTCCTTAGGCTTCTATTAATGCTCTGTGAACTTGACAATTCCTGTGTGCTTCTGGGCTAGGATAGAAAAGAATTATCTCCTTTATATGTAGTTGGTAAAACTTTCATGGGTTGGTGGAATCAGGAGAAGGAAAGGAATAGAATGGGAACAGCAGGACCTTCTGAAGGCCAGAGTCAGGTCATGAGCAAATAGGAATTTGAAATATAGGGAGGAAAAGAGAATGAGGGTAGTTGGAGAAAAGAAAAGAGGAATGAACTGGGGGAGATACAGTCAGCCAACTGAAAATGACCAATTACACCTCCTATTTGCCCAGCTTAGTTTGCAAAGTGAGTAGATTGTGTAACTTGTACAGAGAGAAATTCCAGACATCACATCTAAATAGAACTCCATACACTTTTTTTTTCTTTTCTTGACTTTTTTTCTTTAAATTTTCAATGTGATTTGGTTGAAAGTTTACAGAGCAAATTCATCTTCCATACAACAGTTCACATACACTTTGTCTCATGGCATTGACTACAATTTCCCACAATGCAACAGCTCCCCTTCCATTTCCTCCCCATAGTTACCTCTTCCCTGTGTCCTTCCCTCCATGCATTCCTGCCCCCTGAGCTGTCTCCCTGTGCACACATAGCCCTTCTATTCTCCTATGATTGATCTCCCCAAGGAATGTATCTACCTCAAGTAAATGTTAAATACAACTCTATACACTTTTGCACTAGCCTCCTAGCTCTTCCCTCTTACTTCTCTTCCCACTCTAAACTCTACTTACCACATAGCAACAAGAGGGAACTTCTAAAAACACAAATCAGATCATGTCATATCCTATCTTGAAACCCTTCAGAAGCTTCCTATTGCATTTTGGAATCAAATCCAAACTCCTTATCATAGCCTACCAAATTTTATGTGATCAGGCCCTTGCCCACCTCCCTAACCACCTCCACCCCACTCTCTCACCATGCACTGTTACACTGGCTTTTTTTTTTCTTTTTCTTCAATATGGCAAGTTCCTTCGTGCCTCAAGACCTTTGTTCTTATCATTGTGTTTACATAGGGCACTTCCACCCAGGCCTTCTTATGACCCAACTTAGATATCATTTACTCAGAGTGGCTTTCCCTGACCCCCACCCTCAGTCATTCTCTTTCATATGATTCTGTTTTGTTTTGTAAAGAGTGCATATAACTTATTTGAAGTTCTTATTTTGATTTCTTGTTTATTATCTGCTTGAATATAAACTTCATAAGGCCAGAGACCAGGTGGAAAACCTTGTCATCTAGCATAGTGCCTGGTACTCAATACCAGGTGCTTAATTGCATGAGTAAATGAATGACTCTCCCATGTCCAAAGCCAAGGTGCTTCTTGTTAAGGAGTTTATGGTCTAGTCAGGATTAGCAGAAAGTATCAGTTGGCCATTGCTTGATTACACAAAGCTTTCCCTTCTATGCTGCCATGCCTTTTTTTCAGGAGCTCCGTCTAGAAAATCTTTTCTCTCATCTCCACCTAGGAAACTTCCTTTTAACTTTCAAGATTAGCTTCATATCACTCTATCAGAATCTGTCATTCAATCTTCTCTACTCATCCAATAAAATCCATTGCCATCGAATCAGTTCCAATTCATGGTGACCCTATTGGACATGGTGAACTGCCCTATAGGGTTTCCAAGGCTGTAAATCTTTATGCAAGCAGACTGTCACATGTTGCTCCTGCAGTGCTGCTGGTAGGTTTGAACCACTGACTTTTTGATTTTGAACCACCAACCTTTGGAAAAGCTGAGCACTTAACCTCTGCACCACTAAAGCTCCTTTCTGTGCTTATAGCATCAACCAAGTGCTTCACTCCTTACTTGTGGAATATGCATGTTTGTCTCTTCTGCTAACTTGTGAGCTCCCTTTGTTGTTGTTATTGTTTAACCAAAACCAAAAACCAAACACACTGCCATCGAGTTGAACTGAACTCATAGTGACCCCTCCTTGGGTTTCTGAGGCGGTATCACTACGGAAGTAGATTGCCCAACCTTCCTTCCAAGGAGTGGCTGGTGGTTTTGAACCGCCAGCCTCCTGGTTAGCAGTCAAGTGCCTTAGGCACTAGGCTACCAGAGCTCGCAATTGTTTAGTTAACTTTTATTGAGTACTTGTCATATGCTGGTTACTGTGCTGCGTACCTTCCATTTAAATCTTACAGTCACCCTGAGAGGCAGGTATCCTTATTATGTTCATTATCCAAACAAGGAAATACTTAAAGAGGTGAAGTAACTTCTAATAAGTGGCAGCACTGCCTTTCTCCACAGAATATGTCGTTCATCATTCTGTATTACTGCTGCTTGTGCCTTTGACACCTAAATCAGTGCTGGGTCTGAGTGAGCACTTAATAAATGCTTGGGAAGATATGTGTGGCAAGGTGTACGAAGGACATATTAGCGTGGGGAGAGATTGGAATGAGGGAGGCCAGCTAGGAGGCTATTGGTATAATTTAGGATGAGTTCGTGAAACCTGATTATTGGATTTTGATACAATCTCTGGAAGTGGCTATTGAGATTTTGAGAGTCCATAGGCGTAATGATGGAAGAAGAACACCAGAAAGCTTTAGGGAAAGCATGTAGTTTGGACTGGAACTGGGAACATCTTTCAGCTTCCCAGCTCTTCAAAATAGCACTTTGAGAGCTGAGCAAACAGAAGTGCTGGAGGAGAAGGATGAAGAGGTTGGAACCTTGTG